GAAAACTGTCATTTTAGTTTTGTAGTTATTATCCTCTTAGCACATGAGCAGAACTGATCTTTGTGTTGCTACTGTGGCTAAAAGCTATGAGTACAAGTTGGAAAGAGAGAGCTGCTCACAAAAAGGAAGATTCAAGAGTGGAGGGATGAAATTACCATCTTCCTGTCATCCCATTATTTTTAGCACTAGGAAAAAGATGGAAGAGAAATGTTGCTTTGAGAGCATGAAAGGTGCTTCAAAACTACATTCTCCTCACAGAAAATGAGGTTTTTGAATGGGATCTGTGGGCTTACAGGAAACCTATTAGTTAGGTTTATTAGATCTTTTCTCTGGGACTTTTTCCTCAGTTGTAGTGGTGGCTTCTTCTGCCTCCTGACTTTAGTTCTGAGTAAAAAAGCTGGCAACATTTCCAAAATCTTTTTCATATTTCTATATTTCTATAGAAATATAGAAAATATATTTCTATATTTTCCAGCAAGCACAGAAAATATATGGGGGGCATAAGTACATAAGCATGGTTGTCTCAAGCATTCTGACTGTCGTGCTGTCACAGGAAAGTTGGGATTGGGAGGGAGGGTCCTGCTGAGGCAGGGAAGAGCTGTTGTGAGCCAGCTTCCCTTTCATTGCAGGGCTTGTTGGTCGGCCTGGAGGCTCATGGTCAGTGTGCCTGCAGCAAGAGAAGGGCCAAGTCCTGGGCACCTCACTAAAGGGGGCTCCCAGCCCCCCCCTCATTTCCTGAAGGGCTCTAAGGGCTCACTGTGTGTGTGCCAGCAGCAGCAAATGGCACAAAAAAATGAAGGGATGTGCCCTAGGGAAGCTTTAAAAGGGAAGGATTGGTCCCAGGCTTTTGTTGATCCCACATCTGGACCGGACATAGTGGCAGGACCAATATGGGATCTAAGGACTGGTGGTCTTTTTCCTTCACTTTCTCTATTTTCCCTTTTTACTCTCTCCTCTCTTGTTCTATCCCAGCAATTGGATTTTACCCCTTGCTCTGTGATGAAGTTTGCTGGGAGAGTGGGGAGCTTGGTAAAGTTCATTGTAAAAGTCAAGAGCTTGTCAGCCAACACTTCTACAACTAAATAGCAGGATGGCTGTGGGAGTTAAGGTGGCTGTATAATAAAGGATAAGAGTTCCCTGACACTGGACTGCTGTCTTTGTTCAGCCCACTGAGAAGTCCTACTGAATTTTCAGGTTGTGACAATCCCTCCTTCTCACTTGGAAAGCATGGGGGGTTTGCTTACACTTCCCAAGAATAGCTTTTACTGTGAAGTCTTACTGGGACCATTGGTCCTTTTGTGAAGGAAAGTCAGGACTGACCTCACTTTTCTTCCTGATAGTGAACTTTGCTTTCCTTGGGTCAGTACTATTGTTTTTATTACTCTCCTTGTCTCCTGTGCAGCGTGGATCTGCCCTTGCAGCTCTGTTCTTGGCTCCCATGTTTTCCACTTCATATTTCTTTGAGGGGACAGAAACCTTAGAAATTACATCAAAACTAATTAACAGCTCATTCACATGCCTTGATGTCACAGCAGTACTTGCAGTACTTTGATGCACTTTTCTGTGATGTCTTTCAATTTATAAGAGGAAATTTATTACATATATTTGAATAAATGTTGTGTAATACGGAAGGAATTTATGCAAGGGAAGCATCTTTCTAATTATAGCTCAAAACAAAGTGTATGAGAGCTTTGGATGATACAGACTGTCACCTACTTTGGTCTTTATTGTCTATTTGTTTTCTTAGAGCATGCTGTAAGTTACAAGGTGTCTGCATCTGAGAACTTGGCTTTAGTTAGAGGTGGGGGAGGGCAGCGCGCTGGGTCCTTTCACTGAGACTTTCCAGTAGGAAGGATTACATGATAAATATTCTTCCTGTAGGTTCTCTCCACAGAAAGAAATTCCTGGGGTGTGAATGCTGTGAGAATGGGATTGGAAATAGAGATTGCAGATGAGCAGAAATGTTTCACAGTTTTGTTTCATGATGAGTTATCAAGGATTATGGGCAGCTGTTGTTTGAAGTTGTTTGAAGTATTTTGACTTGGTGCTGAATGGCTCAATAGTAGCACATGCAGTTGGTTATTTAAAAATACTGCAGGAGCAAGAGAAATGCTAATTCTTAAAGTGAGTGGTGACTCTCCTTTGGCCTTGCAGGTAGAGCAAAAAGACACATTATGTATTCTGTAGCAGCAGAAACACTGCAACAGGGCTTTTTCAGTCACTTTTAGTATTGTCTACAGTACCAGTGCGTGGGGTTGAAACTGGAAGCTTTGGATGAGTGGAGCAAGTAGAAAGTAATCAAATCTTAGCAGACTATAATGGCTGTGTAGCTTCTGTGCAAATCCCATTTCTGTGTATTGCATCAGCAAGGAAAGATGTAAGTCTTGCACTGTTCCTGTGAGTACATGAGTTATGTTCTTTAAGAATCCTTGGTGGGATTGGCAAGTGTTCTTTTCCAGCATTTCTAGTTGAGAGTCCAAAAAATGATTCTGCCTGAGCATTGCACCATTCTTGTGCCTGCCATTTGCTGGCCAGGTACCAGAGCTAAGGAGGACTGGCTGCAAAAACCCAGCTGAGGCTCTGTCTTAAGGATTCTGGAGGAAAAAATATATCCTTTTCTCACTGAAACATGTCTCAGATGGAAATTGGTCTTTGTATGGTCTCCTTGAGGGAGAAATATGTTTTTTAAGTTCTGTTACCATCTTTTTTCTCTTTCCTAGGACATGATGGAGCTCTTAGAGGAAGATCTGACCTGTCCCATTTGCTGTAGCCTGTTTGACGATCCTCGTGTCCTGCCCTGTTCACACAATTTCTGCAGAAAGTGTCTGGAAGGAATTCTTGAGGGAAATGTGCGGAATGTGCTTTGGAGGCCATCCCCTTTCAAGTGCCCCACATGCAGAAAGGAGACTCCTGTCACTGGAGTCAACAGCTTGCAGGTCAACTATTCCCTGAAAGGCATCGTGGAGAAGTACAACAAAATCAAAGTAACTCCAAAAATGCCTGTGTGCAAAGTGCACAGCGGGCAACCCCTTAACATTTTTTGCAGGACAGACATGCAGCTGATCTGTGGGGTTTGTGCCACCCGTGGTGACCACACAAAGCATGTTTTCTGTTCCATTGAAGAAGCTTATTCCCAGGAGAAGCGGGCTTTTGAAACCTTGTTTCAGGGCTTTGAAACTTGGCGTTGTGGAGATGCCCTCTCACGGCTGGATACCTTAGAGACCAGCAAGAGGAAAGCTCTGCAGATGCTGACGAAAGATTCTGACAAAGTGAAGGAGTTCTTTGAGAAGCTGCAGCACACGCTGGAGCAGAAGAGAAATGAGATTCTGTCTGACTTTGAGACCATGAAGCTTGCGGTGATGCAGGCCTACGATCCGGAAATCAATAAACTGAACACCATTCTGCAAGAGCAGCGGATGGCTTTTAACATTGCAGAGGCCTTCAAAGATGTGTCCGAGCCCATTATATTTCTGCAGCAGATGCAGGAGTTCAGGGAAAAAATCAAGGTGCTTAAAGAAACCCCTTTACCTTGTTCCACTGTGGACATCAGTCCCACAATGAAGAGCTTTGATACCAGCCAGTGGAATGGAATAAAGCTTGTTGATGTGGACAAACTTTCCTTGCCTCAGGAAAGCAACACTTTCAAATTCAAGATTCCCTTGGTCTTTTCACGCAGATTTATAGTGAACTCTCTTATTTTCTTGCTCATTCTTGCTGTCACCAGAATGTCCTTTGTGGAGTCGGTCATTGACAATCTCCAGTGCTGGAAATCTCAGTTCCTTACAATTTGCTTGTCCTATTTGGCAGATACCGTGGAGATAGCAGATCATGCAGTCTTTTACTGGGAACAGATGACAGATGGAGCTTCACTCTTAAGAGAAAAGTGTAAAAACTATACGTTGGTTGTACTGGATAACGTTGCACAGTTTGTGTGCAAATATAAACTGTTGTGAAGTGTCTGCTGGAATATAAGAACTAAGAGAGATTTGGGAAAAAACATGGAACTTCTTAAATTAATTGGTCTTTTCAGACTTCATTGAAACATTCTAAGATTCAAAATGATTCCAAAACATTCATAATGTTCCCATAGTTTGAGTACTGCTAAACCAGAAAATGAAATGGAGCTTTGAAAAACATTTTGTGGATTCTTCTTTCAGTGGTGATTATGGGAATATTACTCACTGTAAATCATTTTCCTTACCAAAATATGGGGCCAAACTGTATTTTTAGTTTGATGTTAATGTAATTGTAGAATAAGGTAAAAGATTGTAGTTTTAAAAAAATTCTAACTGGGAGATGGTTTGGAAAGAGGAAGAAGAGTTGTGACTGAGGTGAGCACTGTGCTGACAGGTTTGCTGAGGACTGCCCTTCCACTGCAAAATGCAGCGTGCATCGTTCATATTCTGGAACTAGCTTCTATCTGACAATGTTACTTCTCTCTGAAATAGCTATATGTTTTGGTTTGGTTTTGTGGGGTATCTTTTTGTATAACCAAATACTGTAATTACCCTGTGCATTCAGATTACATGTCCTATACAAAAATATTTCTTCAGGACAAGCATAAATTCTAGAGGTAATAATAAGAACAATCTACAGGATGGTATGTGCTTTGCAGAGAGTTCATACTTTGCAGTTTACTTTTCCAGCATCAAATTGTTGGGGTAGCTGGGCTGTTTTGTTAGACCCATGTTTCTCTGGAGCCACGCTTTCTTAAAGACTGGCCTTAACATAAAGAACTTAGTGCAGTGAAAGGCACGCAGGGGTCTGCCACAGGAAGGCAGCCTGGGCTCTAACCCTGCAGAGGTGGCAAGTAAAAGAGCTGCTCTCCTGTCCCTCTCTGCCTCTCCAGATTGCAGTTCCAAAAGCCGGGAAAAATGATTGCATGATTCCTGGAACAGGTTATGTGATGCAGCAGGTGTATGGATGTTGGTGGTGTTTGAAGAACCTTGTATAGGTTCTTGTGCTGTTGCTGTATTTTGTATCTTGTTTGAGGAGCTAATTGAATTTTCTGGTTGTATTGACTTGGCCTTAGATACAGTGATTTAAAGGGAACCTTAAGCTTGAGTTCTCTGAAGTGCCCTTCTTCCAGAGCATACGGTACTGAAATGTCTTGCCTGAAGCACATTTAACCTCTTTTTGCAGTGGTAGTGTGAACAGCAGTGTATAGAATGAAAACGTTGAACTGACATTTCTAGAAAACAAATATAATGTGTGCCATCCTTCAGGAATATTCGTTGGCCTCTCCCAAGGTCTCATAAATTGTGACAGTCAATTCACTGTATTCTGGTAGTCCTTGCAAGCTGTTCATTTCAAAAATAAAACATTAAATTCCAAGAATTCAAAGTCTCCAAGCAACCAAACCCAGCAAACAAAACTATTGTACATGGTATTTACATCTTTGTTGCCTGGGAATCCTGTTGCTGCTCCACACCTCACTCCAAACACTTGCTAAAAGCATGCAATGGTTTTTGCAGCTGCCTTGCAGGTTAGGAAGGATCAAGGCACAGAGGTGTAGATCAGAGAGCTGCAGTTCCTGAGTGGCTGAGGCAGCCATGAGCAGTCGAGAGGTGGTCGTTCTGAGTGTGGGAGGTGTGAGGTTTGTGACCTGGGCTGCCACCTTGCAGCAGTTCCCTGAGTCCAGGCTGGCACGCATGGTGAGTGACGATGACCAGGAATTTAAACTGGTGAATGGAGAGTTTTTTGTGGACAGGGATGGAGCTTTGTTTAGTTACATCATGGACTTCTTGAGGACTCTCCAGGTGTCCTTACCAACTGATTTCTCAGACTATCAGAGGCTGCAGAGAGAAGCAGAATTCTATGGACTCTACCCCCTGGCCAACCTCCTGAGCCAAGAGCATTTGCTGAAGCCGAGGCTGGAGATCTTGGAAGTGCGTTTTTCTCTTCAAGAAATGCAGGCCTTTTTCCGGATCTTTGGTTCCTGCAGTACCACCATTGAGGCACTAGCTGAGCAGATCACTGTGTTTACAGGGCAGCAGTCAGGACAGGGCTGGAACAGCCCTTTTGCTTCCCAGAAACCACTCGTTCCACTTCCTTTGGAAAGACCCTCTCATCATGATATGGTTTTTCTGTGTGGGACTGAGTATTCTGCTGGTGACCAGTTCGTGGCCAGGTACTGTCCCTGGAGTGACTTCTCATTACAGACACGTCTTTGTGACTTGCAGTTCATGAAGTGCACACTATGTGCTAGCAAAGCTCATTTTAAAGAAACTGAAAGAAAAATGTTTCTTTCTTTCTGTTCAATGTTATCGTTTTCTAGTTCTGAAACACCCAGTTTAATTTGTTACACTGATTTGCCTGTTCTCAGCTTCCTAAAGTACTGTTCTTGATGTTTGTTTGTAAGTGCTCTTGGGTTTTTCTCTCTCTCTGCAATTTCCTCCTCACTCACTTTAGGATTTCACAGTATCGCCTTCCACAGAACATGAAGAACACAGTGAGGAAACAAAGTAAAGTAAATTACTGGGTGGAAGCCTAAAATCTCCACTAGCTTATGGTGTAAAAGGCTTTCATATGGAAAACAGGAAACAGAAAATGGCAAGAAGAGTTAAAAACTTCATTGAAACTGAGACAGCATTTTGGGGACTGGAAAGCTTTTGTAGAACTTTTTATTAGGGGGAGGGAGGAAAAACAGATTATTGACTATATGCTTCACAGTGGATTTTATTTGAATTCAGGCCCAGGTTCTGTTTTTATTAAGATAACTGTGTATCAGTAATTTTTGTGATAGCAGTATTGTATTCTAATGACTACTTAGGTTTTTTTAAACTATCTTTTGCTGGATGTCTCTATTGTATGGAGACATGTTCTTACTGTATAAGAAAATGTTAACCTAATTTGTCCCCTGTGGCTGTTAGAACATCTGGAATTTTATGGAAATTTCATTGAAATATTTCCAAAAATATTCTATTTGAATATATGAACCAACACAGCAGTCTTTTGATTGTTTTTTAAAGAAAATAAAATTTATCTTTCTTCCAGGTTTCTCTGGCTAAACAATTAGAATAAAAACTACTTTGCATTTGTGAAGCAATATATATGTTTGTGTGCCAAACCTTAACTTTGTAACATATTACTAATTTTAATGGACTAGCAATTGGTTGAGTAGGTTATGGCAACTTAAGTAGTGGGGAAAATATTTCTGATTTTTTCATTTATTTCTTCAGAATTGGTAAAAATTTCCCTTTGCAGATCAATAGAAAAGCTGATCTTGAGTAATGAAATAAGTAAAATTTGATTATGTTGCCTTGCTGAATTTCTATCTCCTTAGTCTTTGTGGTGACATGGACTTTTTTGCCTTTCTTGTGCTTTCCATGAATGTTTGGTGTACTTGCCTGTGAACTGTGGAACAGTTTCCCCTGTCAGTTTATACATTTTGTAATAGTGTTTTTACCTGACTTCTGCTCCTCAGAATGTCTGGATAGATTCTTACACTCTACTTTATATCAAATAAAATCATTTGAGGCCATGTGAAAGTGATTTTAATATTTGTTACCACACGACCTGCTGTACAAGGTAACTTTGCAATAAATGTCACTGTTTGTAGAGAGAGATCCTGTGTGTTGGAGAGTGATGCTCTTGGGGTGAATGTGACTCTGCTGTCCATTGTTTACTCTTACCTGAAAAACTTGCAGCATTGCAGAGCCTGCTGCTTATTTCTCCTCTGTTGAGACAAGATGGGGGTTGTCACAGATATTTCTTAAGAAAATAAATTTTGTGGTGGAGGAGGGTGTGAAAGGGAAGTGCTTATTCCCCAGCACATAACTGGATGAACTGAGAATTACTCTTTATGAAGGAAAGAGTCAAGTCATCCTTAAAAGAAAAAAAAAATTATCTGGAGCCTTGGTTGCTGTAAACACAGTGCAGCTGGGCTGATCTGTGCTGTAAAGTAGTTAAAGTGTGCTGTAACTGCTTTTTCCTTTTTGTTTTTCCCTCTGATTTTAGGTATGTTTCCATAAAGCCTGATAAGAGAAAGCTGATTAATGGTACTAACGTGCTAGGCCTGCTGCTTGACACTTTGCTCAAAGATGGATTTCGCCTCATAAGCACCAGGACAGTCCCCAGTGAAGAGAAGGCTGAATGCTACACTTTTGAAAGGATGAAGAGGGCAGCAGGCCTTGCCATCATGGTGAGCCAAACCCCAGGGAGCTCTGGGGTGGCACAGGCAAGGAGAAGCCAAGTACAGAAAGGGAAATAAGGGCTTTTCCTTCCATCTTTTGAATGTAGAAGAGGCATGTGTCAGCACTAGTGACCTTTTCTTTTTGTTGTTTTGGCATGTTTGAAACTGCAGCTATTGAGGGAAGTAACAAATACATTTTCTTTCAAGTATTTAGGGGGAAAAATTGTTTTCTTGCCTTTTATCGCTGTACCTTCTTTAAGTAAAAGAAGCCCAGAAAACTGTTTTTATGTTCTGTGCTAATCTGCAAGTAGATTTTAAAAACAGGGTAACACATGAAGATGATGCAACTGTCATCCCAACAGTTAGGAGAAGTGGCTGGGGGAGGAATGCAAACCCCAGCGATTGATCAGTGCTTCCACTCACTGACTCTCTTGCAGTTGGCTGAGGGCAGTGGGAGGGGAACATCCCGAGCTGTGCTGCTGTGTGGCTTTGTGAAAGCCATCACTGAAGTCTGTGAAATAATGTGTGACTGTCTCTTTTCCTCTCTTCCCACTCTGGTGGCATTAAGATGCCCTTTGGTTCGGAGAGTTAAATGATAAAGATCTTTGTGAACAGAGGGTCAGTTAATTTTTAGTGCTTTCACCACAAAAAGGATGAAAATGTGATGAACAGCCCTTCAGATGAAAGAATTTGTACAGTTTCAAACAAAGTAGTGCAAAGAATTTTTTAGCACTTCTTAAGTACAACACTGTTGGAAGGCTTAGCAGAAGTGGCTTTAAGAGCCTTGTTAGTCCTCTGCAAAGATTTGTAAAGATGCCAAAATTAGCTCAGGTACTGAGAGAGGTAAGTTCATGAAGCTTTATAAATTAAGAATCTTTTGTCCTTCCATCAAGGCAGAGAGAGAAGATAGCAATAACTTCAGGGATTCATTAGTTGCATCTCAGTTTTGTTGCTGGTAAAACACAGAATTCACAGAATGACTAGGTTGTAAGAGACCTTAAAGACCATTGAGTCCAACCCATGCCCCAACACCTCAACTAAACCATGGCATCAGTGGCACATCCAGTCTGTTTTTAAACACATCCAGGGATGGTGATTCCACCACCTCCCCAGGCAGACTATTCCAGAATGTTATGAGTCTCCGTGAAAAACTTTTTCCAACTATGCAACCTATATTTCCTTTGTTGCAGCTTGAGATGGCACCATCTTCCCGAGGCTTAGAATAGCCCAGGAGAACCACTTTGGGCTTTCTTGGCTAACCAGTCAGATCTGGCTTTTCATTTGTTTTAAAATGTGAATGCATTACTTTATTTGCAGCACTTGATAATGGGGGAGGGACTCAGCCATCTCTTTCTTGCCTTAAGGAGTTTCAGTGAAATGGATCTTTCCAGACTGGAAAGAAGTGCCACTATTGGACACCTCTTTTCTTTGGCTACTGCTCTGGGGCATTTCAGCTTGACCTAAGTTCAAAAGCTCAGTGAGGTCTTCTTTGCTTGTTCTAGAGCTGTTTGAGTTGAGAATAATATGATTATGGGACTACATCTCCCAAGCTGCTTACAGGTTATGTAATGAATGTAAGAGTGAATGCTTCCACTACAAATGGGTTTCTTTTGGTCAGTAATGTCAATGCATTCATATTTGCCTTGAAGTAAGATATTTCTTACAGTGAGAACCATCATTCTCTGAACAACCTCCCCACAGATGCGGTGGAGTTCCCCTTGTTAGAAATTTTGAAGAGGATGCTAAATGATTTCATGAAGGCTCTGTGACACATGAAAGACTGCACCAGATGATCTTTTGAGTTCCCTTCCAGCCTGGTCTGTTCTATGATTCTGTGGAGCCCTTCTGTGAAGGTCTGTGCCAGAAAGCCTATCATGGTGGGCTTTGAGGTCAGACCACTGTTGGGTGACAGAACAGACAGGCTGTGTGGGGTGCCTGTCCCCACAAGTTGCTATGCTGCAGACAACGCTCCTTGTTTGGAAACAATAATGTTGATTATTGGGTGAGTTACTGGTTGTGGATATTGTAGGTGGAGGGACTAGCCAATGTGAAGCACGAGACAAAAAAAAGCAAATTCTTACAAGGAAAGTTTAAAAAATAGACTTGAGGCTGTATTTAGACATTATGCCCTAGATGATCACCAGTAGCAGTGATGTAAGCTGAGACAAGTTTCAGAACACGTCACAGTAACAATTACACTGTTTCACCTACCACAAAAGTAGGGACTTTGTTTTCCATGCTGCAGCAGCCTCTTTGAAAATTGAAGTTTGGATTCCAATTATTATTTTTTTTTTTATGAAGTGAAAGAAAAGACAAATACTTCAATTTTTAAAGAGCCCCAAAGTTTTTACCTATGCAATCATCCATGTTCCATGTCTTTGGCAAAATGAATATTTGATACAACCATTTTAGTAACACTTTATGATGGGCTGAACACATGGGTTAATTTTTATTTAGCACAGCATCATTCTATGAATGCAGTATTTGGCTCTGGAAAATATACCAGTGCAAGTTGCTGTCATGTAAAGAACCATATGTGCTTTACCCTTGGGTAACAGTGTGCTGTGGCTCTGTGCTTCTTTTGGAAGCAAAGCACATGACCATCAACAAGCTTGTCCTCCCAGAGTTCTTCCAGCATTTATTCTTACTTAGCTCTGAACTGAGAAGTATCACCTTCTGTCATTTTGTGTTCCTGCAGAGAATGTGATTAGGCTCTTACACAATGCTTTCACTTTGTTGGGATTTTTTTATTAGTTTTTTTAACCGATAGTCCTTAAATAAGTTTGACAGCATGTGTGTGAAAAACCTGATAGAAATCTGTTGAAAGCTTCTGAACTGATACCAGTAGGATACTCATGACTTCAATGAAAGATTGATGGAATAAATTAATTGAATTTAAGCTGGTTCTTCAAGGAAAACTCCTTTCTGGGTTTCCTTATACAGAAAAAGGAAGCAATGATGATAGAGCTACAGATGTTGTATAGTTTCAAGCTACAACTAAATAGCAGTAATTATGGAGGAACAGGTGAAATTATGTTTATTTGCAGACAAATTAATATAAAAATAGCACTGATCTACTAGGAGGGTCTTCAGCTGGCCTCCACCTTGCAAGGTTATTTATGCTACTGTAAAGTGTTGCTGAGTCAGGATGGCAAATTTTCTGTGTCCTCTTTGAAGTGGTATGCAGTGTAACCTGCAGGCACCGAGGCAGGAATTTAGAAATAGTGGCCAGTGTTTTTACTGCTCCTTCCCTTCTGAAGCCCCAAACAAGCAGGGATGCAGCAGAGAGCAGACTGTGTGGTGTGTGCTCAGCAGAGTTATTCACACGGAAGGGAACAGCTGTACAAGTGAATTTGGCTGGTAGGAACTACGAGTCTGAGTGATTTTAAAAGCTGCTTCGTCAAACCAGATTATGTGCTAAACTGAGTACTTCCACCCAAACCTTGGCAGGCAATTCAGCTCTGGTATCTCACAACACAATCTTTGCTAGACTAGCAGTGTGTTGTAGGTGACTTGGTTGTACTTTTACATGTGACAGAACCTGAAGCTCTGATTGCTCACATCTAGCTCTCTTTTTAATTAAATGGGAATGGGATTTTGAGTAATTTAGACCTTTATTTTCCAATAAAAGTAATTTGCTATCCTTGACATAATCCACTTCTTTCATTGCCAACTTTCTCAAGAGAATTCCTTTTTTTCCTATGAAGGTGCAAAATTTGCTTATTTCAGTGAACTTCACTGCTGTATTTGCCTTTTTATTATTCCCTGGATTCAGCAGAAATGTGCAAAGTGTTCCACTGCCTGTAAATGCTAAGGAATGTAAAGGAACTGTGACAGTGCTGGGGCAGGCAGCCCCCATGCTCACTCACAATGAGCTCTCTGTGGCTTTGCAACAGGCAAACAGAGAGCCATAGGGGAAAAAGAAACTGAATGGTGAGGCAGCACCATCATCCTGTCCCACTCACAGGGACTGCAGTTTACATGCTAGAAGGGGATCATCCAAAATGAGGTGACAGCTTGCGGGCTTTGCAAAAGGCAGATGATTCAGAAAAACAATGCCTCAATTTGCTTTACACTTCCTTATCTTAATCACTTTTTCCTCCTTTAAAATTGGGTGTCATCCTGTGTTTCTATATTCAAGACTGTCAAGGGCTTTGCCAGTAGAGTCTTGTGATGCTGGCTGGATGTCCCAACAGGACAAAGGTACCACACACTTCTTCCATCCCCCTGTTCTTGCACCATGTAACTGTGTTGGCTTCCTTTTCTAGTAATGGGTGGCCTTTTTTGTGCTTTTAAGTAACTTTTTGTCTCCTTCTTCACACACTGAGAAGTCTCTCTTGTGTTGTACTTATCCCTTTCAGGGACACGTCATTTATTTACCACTAGAATTGTTCAGTATCCTGCTGATACCAGGAAGAACAGAGTCTGTTGAGAAATACCTTCTTGTTCTTTGGGTATTGATTTCAATAACAGTTCATGAGAGTTTTTGTTTCTTTGGGAAGTGCAGTCACTGCATTCTTATAGGTTCTGCAGTCAGCACTCATGTGATTGTATAAATTATTAAGGTACTTAAATAACGCTCTATAAATTGATACAATAGACTAAGATACTATTTAGGTAGGATCTTAGATACAAAGACTGATCCCTCTGTGCTGGCCATAGTACTGGGAAGTTTTCCCCTTTACTAAATAATTCCAAACCATTTTCCACTTACCTTCAAAACTGAATTTCATGGAAGTAGCAGAAGATCCTCCCTACAATGCTGTATATAGGGAATTAATAGCCATAGGGCAAAACAATGATGCTGCAGTAACTGCATCATGCCCAATGATAGTAACTTCTTTTAACTTTGGAGAAACTTTTCTGCCCAGTGAACTCTTCCCAGTTTCTACCTATTTTGGTTGGTTTCCAGCTTTCCAATGCTCATAAATAACTCCCTTAATCTGACCTGAGCAAGTCTGATGTGCTTTTGTCAGTCTCTTGAGTTGGTAAGTCTCAGGTACATCCAACATATCCTGGGTGATATTTTGTTTTGACCCACAGCTGGAATCAGTACCAGAAAGCCACCAGGGTGGATCAAAAGTCCTGTTTGAGTTCACCACAAAGAGTTCATAACTTTGAATAATTTCTTATTTTTTAAATTTGTTCCTAGATTGCTGAAAAGTGTTACTAAATATTCATTGAGAAACAATCTGGGAATTATCCAAGAAGAGGAGGGAGGCTCAGTGCCTCTTACTCCTTCTCTCTGATTTGTGCTGAACCATTGCCAGGCTTTAACTTTACAAGGTTTATTTTTATTGATTTTCGACAATAAATGGTGGGAGTATCTTCAATAAAAGATTTACAGTGCATCATGAAGAAATACAACTCCCTACCACATATTATATTGATCTATTCCCAAATGCTACTGAAACAGCCTATAAAACCCCAAATGAAGTCCAATGATGGAGAACTTCCTCTCTCTAGTGACAGATGCATATGACTGTTATGTCTTCAGAAGACAATAAAAGGGAAGGGAGTGACTCTGCTTCTTTGACCATATCTTCAGCAGCCCAGTTAAATCTGTCAGCTCAATGTAATCCACATAAATAATGAATTTGGGAACCAAAGGAACTGCTAGTGTGTCTGAAGATTCTCATTCTTTGAAGCTGCCTCTCCTGCTGCAGACCATAATTAGTCACAGAAGGCCTTGTTGTAACTAGTACATGGATGGACCAACAATGATTTGAATAGTCTGGTTCTGGCTGAAGATATGCCTGGAGTCCTGAATATTCTCAAATGGGTGGGTGAGAAGTAAATTACTAGTCATCATATAAAATACAAATAAATCTGACTTCTATTAAAAAAGGTCAGTTTTTTAGACCATCATGTAGTTTCTGCTGAAATAACTTCCTAAAGTGTGATCTGATGTGTAAATTTTTTCCAAGGATCTTTACTCCATTTCTACTCTGTTTTCAATCTAATGGAATGGTTCAGTAATTGGTGTCTTTTTTCTGGTCAGAAGGATGATGAATGTGGCCCTAAAGGTTGGAAACTGTAATGTGTACAAGTCTGCTGTAGAAAATTAATTTAGGGCTTTGCTTTCTAAGCAAGTTACTGTTACAGCAGTCAGCTGAGTGCTTGCTGAAACTGTGAAGAATTAAACATTGCAACATTGTTCCATCCTGATTCTCCATTGGAAAAAAAAAAGGCAATAGATTGGAAACATCAAGTCTGGGGTTTTACTGGTACTTTGGAGTCAGGAACTGAGTTTTCTTTGAATTTCAAAGGCAGTTTGTAGCTTTCATTGAGGGCCTTCTGAAAAGGCTGGTTTATGGTTTTTGTTTTTGTTCCCCAGTGATATCTAAACTGAGTAATAAAAGAATTGCTGACATACCGGTTTATTTACAATGTTGTATTTAACAATAAACAGAATGCATGCTGATCCTTCCATCCTTTAATCTTTGTGGTTTTACTATGTCTTCAGCTTGCTCCTCAGTTGGGTCCTGGTAGGACAGAGGAAGGGGCTACGTGGTAAGGGCAGGCAGAGATCCACAGAAGGAGGCAAACTCACTTCCTTCCCATTACAGAGAGGAAGTAAAGGAATAAAATTAGGCTCGAAAGAGTCATGGCCTTTGTGGAACCAAAGAGACACATCTTACTGTATTGAGGAGAGGACAGAGCTGTCAGAAATGTCAATGCCACAGGACAAGGAAAAGCAGATCTCACAGGGGCGACCAGATAGGTGGGTAATACCTTCTATACAAACCTGGAAATGGCATAGAATAACATGGACAGGAAACTTGAACATTCATTAAACTATAGGGATGTTTTATTTTTTTCCAATATGTTAGGTTAATGCATCTATAGAATGTCTTCCAGTAATAATTCACATACCTGAAGAAGAAAATTTCTCTTTAGGAGGTAATTTCTGCATATGTGCTGTGAAGTGAAACATTGCAGGATCCAGACATCAGATGGATTAGTCATGTTGATACCTCACACCTAGAAACAAATGCTAAGCTTTTGGAGATCAAATAGATAAACTTTGAAGATCAGAATAACATCACTGTTTTGGTAGTGCAGGGGGTGATAAGCCTACTGAATACTTCCTGGATATGTCCTATTGGTGGCCTTTGTTTCAATGCCAGTTGCACTATGGTGAGCATTAACCCTGTCAGTAAGTTCCTAGTTTTCCATAAACTGGAAAGGTATTTCCTGTAAAAGACTGGTTTACCTTTTCTCCATTTGCAAATCTATCCTTAAGCCATATGATATTCATTTGCTACCTACAGTTGTTCAAAACATTATCTTCTGAAAATGGCTCAGTAAACCATAGATTTCCAGAACACATTAATAGCTTAAATATGGCCATGTCAAGAATTTAAGGGAAACATTGTATCTCTATGGTCCCTGATGTAACAGAAGCTTCTTCCATCATTGGTTAGGCTAAAACTGCTTTCTGTTCCTATTTCATAAGATCTGACAATTTTAGTGTGATAGTGCAATCTAGACTTCACTGTCCATATACAGCCTCCAAATCTCCACAAATACATGTTGGAAAAATGATGAGAAAACTATCATCTTTTTGCAAGATTCTTTTTTGGAGACTCCATGCTGGAAAACGCCCAGGCAGGCACAGGAACACTTGAACAACTCCTCTTTTGGCTATAGTTTGCCCTCATAAGCTGTGCTATAAGAGTGTCTTGTGCTAAGCTATTGAAAGTCTGACCCCTGGAATCACAGAAGAGTTTGGGTTGGAAGGAACCTTAAAGATTATCTGGTTCCAACCCCTCTGCACTGGGCAGGGACACCTTTCACTACACCAGGTTGCTTCAAGCCCCGTTCAACCTGCTCTTGACCAATTCCAGGGATGGGGTTTCCACAGCTTCTCTGGGCAACCTGTGCCAGTGCCTCACCACCCCCTGACCCATGATCCATGCTCTCAATGAGCTTCTGAGGTAGGCTCTGAGATTGAATAGAAAAGCTGAATGTAATGCGAAGTCACAGAAGGCTAATGGAACATCAGACTTCTATGGTTTGGATCATCTCTGTTCTGTGCAGGGATCTATGCTGACTTCTTGCCTACCCTCAGGACCAAGAAAAGCCATGAGTGAAGCATGTAATGAGAGTTCTTAGATCACTTACGCAGTGTTCAGGACATGCATGCATATGTGGGTTTTTGTTCTTCTGAAACAGGCAGTGACAAGCACACAGGTCTTACACTGGAGGCAATGACGCCTGCTAGGAAGACGACACGGTTCCTTCAGGCAGGGTGGGTAACAGTGTGGAAATAACTGTTTTGAAAGCTCAGAGCTCTCGGGGCTTTCTAACTTGGTAGTGATAAACTGCTGGCTGAAAACATTTCTCTGTATCTGATCTTTCAGCTGTACATATTTACATTTCTTGAGATCTGGGACAGCCCAAATTGAATACTGTACTGGAATTGGCTCACAACCACCTTTCCCCATCCCTTTTTAAGAGTTAAAAAGGGAATCTCTTTTCCATAGGAAAAGAAGTAGTGCTACCAATAATCTCATAAAACACCTTGTGACCAAAAGGAGTCAATGAATGACTAAAATAGAATATGGTGGGCCCTCTCCACACTACAACAAGAATACACAAATCTCTGTGACAGGTGGTAGGCTTTAACATATTATAAAACCATTTCAGTGCTTGAAAGGAAGAGGTACAACTTCAAAAACATTCCAAATGTTCTGGTGCAAACAGTCAGATACTGCCATGTGGATGAAAGAAGCAGGTGAACTGCAACACACAAAGAAGTTGTCTTTTTTTTGTTTTTTCTCTTTAAGTCCTGTGCTGCTTTGCCGGAGGGCATGTAGGCCTGCAGGGTTGGAAAGCCTATGGTCTTGTGATGCCTGTAGTTGGCAACTTGTCTTGGGGATCTAAGAAGTGTGTGTACAACCCTGTCTATACAAAGAGAATGCAAAGCATTGAATAGGTCATTGTGCTTCAGAAAACCCATAAAGAAATACTTCTTATCAAGATGTCTGTGCCTGGAAATGTCACTACTGCCATAAAGGCTTTCTAATGCACTATATCTAAATTCCTCTCTAGATGTCTGTGGCAATGCTTACCATTTCAATTTAGCATTTGCAATATTAACTAATAATAGTCTAGAGACCCTCATTTTCAAGAGATAATTATTTCTGCAGCAGAGATAAAACTTCAGCACCTTTTTGCTCTATGTGTCAGTATTTGCTGGCATTGGAGGCAGTTTTCACAGAATCACTTAGCTTGGGAAAGACCTTTGAGATCAAATACAACCTATGACCAACTGAACAGCACCTTGAAACTGGACCATGGCACCAAGTGCCACATCCAATCTTTTCTTTAACACCTTCAGGGATGGTGACTGCACCACTGCCCTGAGCAGCCCATTCCAATATCTAACCTCCCTTTCTGAGAAGAAATTCCACCTAATGTCCAATCTAAATCTCCCCTGGTAGAGTTTGAGGCCATTTCCTCTCATCCTGTTGCTTGTTACCTGGAAGAACAAACAAGTTCTCTGCAGTTACCTAAAAGGATGTTGTAGCAAGGTGTCAGTCTTTTTCCCAGATAACAAGTGACAAGACAAGAGGAAATGGCCTCAAGTTGTGCTAGTGTAGGTTTAGATTGGATAGCAGGAAAACTTTCTTCACTGGAAGAGCAGTTAAGCATTGAACAGGTTGCCCAGGGAGGTGGTGAAATCACCATCCCTTGGAAAGCTCAAAAGGCATGTGGGTGTGGCCCCTGGGGATATGATTTAGTGGCAAGCATGGTGGTGCTGGGTTAATGGTTGGACTAGAGATCTTGGAGGTCTTTTCCAACCTTAACACTCCTGAATCTGTGAGATGCTAAAAAATACAGGAAGTTCCCATCTCTAAGCTGCTCTAGTGTGAGCCACACCTACTTCTACTGGTGTAGGATGTCCAGCTAAACACAACTGTACAGAACATTTCAGTCTTCTGGTTCTGACTAAGCACAGGAGTATTTTATATGGAACTAGTCCTACAGGATGCTGGAAGCTTATAAAAAATGATCTCTGACTACCAGCAGAGTAGAGAATGTTTTAATCAATACTGAAGGCCAGACACCCATTAAAGTTTGAGGGGTGATTCTGAGCCTGATTTGACAGTGAGGAGCTTGATTTCTCTGATGAAGCTCAAGTATTCAAAAGTGATTCAACCTTACTATAATTTTGGTGCTATATTGCTACTGATAATTTCTTTAGAATTATGGCCAAGGAATCAAAGTACTGTAGACCACTGTATCATGAAAATTCCAGCTCTGTATGATTGGACTGCCTGGTGTTCCTAGGTCTGAACTGTGCTTCAGAAGAATTTATGTAGGATAAAATCAGGATCTGTTTTGCAAATGTTCTGTTCCTTGTCTCCATCTAATCAAGGTCTAGCTGTGTTAGGAGACTTGCTGACAGCCTAGGACAAGAAGTTAGAAAAGCAAAAGAGCTCTGGTCTTTCTCAAGTGTTTCTGCTCAGGCAAACTAGAACCAGAGGCCAGGTGCCTGTATCACTTGTGACATCTTGAGGCAAGATGTTTCACTTGCTCAGCCTTCTTAGAAGATACATGTGATGCTCATCAGCTCAAGTAAAGTGTATCTTATGTAGACAGTCTTTAATGACACCACAACATTACACAGCAAATGTCTGAATGCTAGGGAGGTCATGATCATTCATGGGGTTTGTGCAGACACGGAATTCTTCCTAGGCTGAAGCAATTTCTCCAAACAAAGTGGAAGAAACCCAAACCCAACAAACCAGAGATGCTACAGTTTCTTAACTAAACCACATCTTAACAGTTATTGAAGCATTAATATAAACAAGTAAGAAAGTAAAGTAAGAAAAAACTAATGAAGATTAGTGAAAAATAAAATTACTACTGTCACTGGCTAATGAAAAGCTCTCTGTAGCCACTGGCAGTCTGAAGAATGAGGGGCTGGTTTAACACTACTCTTGCACAAAGAAATGCAGTTATTGCTTTCACAGGTACTGCTGGAAAATGTTCTGCTCTCTTGGTATTCATGGCTACTGATGGCTGCCTGAAGCACCCCCGTATCAATGCACAACACACACACACACACACAAGAACTGCAAGTATTCATAAAGGTGTTAGAATTCAGGAGGATATTTTTTAGTTTTGTCTATGTAATATCCACAGCCAGATGGAAGAAAGTGTCACAGGTAAAGAAGTTGAATATAAATAATTTGGTTTTAACATAAAGGGTGACAGAGAAATGCCTATCTCAAGGATGTGCCTTATAGGAATTCACAGTAGTGTCCCCAGGCCTAGATGTCTCAAAAGAAGAGCCCATTGAAAGCCTGAGAAACTCATATCATAAATCACCAGGACCAGGTGCTGTTTTTAAAATAATCCTGCAGTACACATGAAAAAAAAACTAGAGATAAAAATCGGATTCTGTCAGCTATGATTGAAAATGTCCACTGCTCTGAACAATTGCTCACAGCCAAAGAGAAAAAACCCCTGCAATTTTAGAGGAACCTAAGATACATTCATAGCAAAAGGTAGTGCTTTTCTCAGACTACTTAATTTATGCCTGAAAAAGCATTAAATAATGGGATCACAATGTAAAAGCTCTTTAAGTTATCTGTATGTTCCAAGTGACTAGAATTACTTAAATAAACAAAAAATTAAAGATACTCCAAGAGCCATGAGGAAGTCCGGAAGTTCAATTCTAATTTGGGAATGGAGTAACCACTCCTCAGAAGAGGAAGAATAGTTTAATTTTTCTGAACAGGGTAAGTTATGTGACTCTTCTTCAACCTAGAACAGGCTCTTACCTATGCTGCTAACTTATCGGGGGGAATGTAAACTCCCCTGTAAGGAAAACTCAAACTAAAACAAAAAACCTCTGAAACCCAAAGACTCAAAAAGCTGCTTCAAACACAGAAAGAAAGTAGTTAGAGGGTAGATTGCAGGAGGGAAGGTGAGTCCCCTTGCTGGTTGCTGAACAGCCATGAAGTTCTTTAATGCTGCTCCCTGCTTTCCATCTTCAGCAGATTTAGAGAATGCAGGAGAATAAAGCAGCTTAAAGCCACCTTTACTGCTGCGCTCTTCAGCAATAAAATCCAGAATTTGGCATAATAGAAGACTGATGCGATTAACAAATACTTCATTATCTCAATGTTCATCTACTGGAAACATAAGGTATTCCTTTAGTGCGCTTTAATGGGTACTTACATTTATTGTATGCTGGCTTTACCATTACTTCAGGAAACATCTTAGGAAAAGAATATGGAACATGCGAGGAACTGCACAGTTAGTCCAATAAAAGCAAATTCCACTACCCTTTGAAATCCAAGCTGCAGCTTGCTTTCATCTGCTAACAGCAATAGTTACCACTGCCAACAACCTTAGAACAAAACAGTTTTGTGACTTTTTTGCACATATCCTTGATTTAACAGGAAAGATGGGGAACATCTGTGGGCAACTTCCACTGGGTATTTTTTCAGAAGCAGGAGATATGAACTTGAATCTCCTCAGGTTTCTGAAACCCAGGTTTTCTGTTCTGTGGAAGAGTACCCTTGCCTTGAGATTGTTTCAGCTAGTTTCTTAAAACTCTTCTGAGGGATTTTAGCAAGTCGTGACAATTTTAAACCAGTTCTTTTTTCTGTCCCCATTTTTTCCCATTCCCCCATTTCAATCAGAGCATGTAGCCTTACCCTCTTGTTTCTGCCAGCTGTTCCAAGATATGTGATCACTGATTTTTTTAATGTGTTTCAAGAGTGAAAAAAAGTCTTCCAGCACTCTGGCTTTCTTGGCAACATGCTAGTCTTGTGTGCTGTAGTAGAAAACTAATTGTCACATCAGTTTCTCTAGTACTGTTGCAGTTACGGATTTTCAGCCACAAATCCAATTCTTTAAATGAAGATGAGCCATTATAACCTTGACCATAACTGGTGCAGAGAGAACTTCTGTATTGTTTATCTTAGAGCAGAAAATCCTGTACCTCTGTGACAGTTCTCTCTAGAATCCTTGTGTCACCCAGTACTATATTTCATAGAGCACCTACAGCATTCCCTCACTACAGGGATATACAGTGACCATTACAAGGGAGATTTTAGGTTCTCTTTACAAACTCTTTGGGGGGGAAAAAAAAGTCAAAATGCCAAAAATGCCTAATAAGTGTCCTGCAGTTGTCAGCATGAAACATTAACTTCATTTTGAGTAATAATTTCTTCAGTTTCTCAATATATGAGAAAACACAAACTGCAAGTATGCTGCTAGTTGCATTGGTAGCAACTTGAAACACATACAAAAAACATCCTAAGCAAAGCAAACGGGATTAAAAAGCGCCCCCAAGACTCTTGGTAAAACTGTACCTTGTTAAATAGAAGCTCTCATAGATGTGCCTGCAAGAGAGTCTCAGTCACTAAATAAGGCTGTACCTAGTTAGTTCACTGCCAGCTTACAAACTTCAGTGTTTTAAACTCCTGCATTCTTGACAGAAATTGATTTAAATACTTTGCCTTAGTCAGGCTGTGAATGTGATATTAAAGCATGCTAGTCTTAAGTTTTATCACAAGGACAAAGTACTGTTCTACATTTTTACTACAGCAATTTAGAAATAAATTTCTATAAAGGCATTAAGAAACTGTGTGCAGGCACTCTATTTAACTGAGCTTTACATTTCCTATACATAAGAGATAAAATTTGATTCAAAGGCAGTTTTTATAAGCACACACATTTTTCTTCTCCCTCCACTTTCTCTATTTGTGATATGGAATTGAAAAAAAAATTGCTTGCTGAGTGCAATGAACAGCTGAATTCAAGCACAATTCCTTTCTAGAACCTCCACAGCAATACAACCAACAGGGGGCTGTCTGGCTACACGATGTTATCAAATCTGCAGTGAAATCCTTTTCCTGACTGTACAACCTACCATTCATGCACATTTCCTAAAACCGGTTGAAGAACAAGTAATTTAACACATTTCATACCTCCAAAACATTTGAGTTCTTGTGCATCTTTGTCTCATACTACTAAAAATTTCATATTTTTGATCTGGAAGTTCCATTATAGATGGATAATATAGCTTTAATGTATTTATTGATGTGTCTGCAACAAGATATTGCTTGTTGGAAAAGGGGGAGACTCTCACACTGTTTTGATAATAGGAAAAGCATATCACAGCTGCTTCCAGATGCTAAGAAGCTCTATCTATATTGAGCATTTTTATGCTGGCTTCATATGTTGATACAAATCTTCTGTACAAGAAAAGAGATAGATCAAAATGTTTTTAGACCCTTTGATATTGGTTTAAAGAGCAGATAGGCAAAGTCTGTATGTAGTAGTGTCAAGAAAGGAAGAACTAGGCCCTGAATATTCCTTACAGTGATTTAAGCAATGTAAATGGACTTTAAAAATGGATTGCCAGTCTCAGGAATGAAGGGTGTTTTCCTCAGTGCTGGCACTGTTGCTTACAGCAAGCACATTCAGCTGGCTGAGCTTACAAAAAACTAACCTAAAGTCATTTGGTGAAACAACCAAAGACAGAGAGCCAGGGTAATAGTAAGGGAACCCAAAAACTCATCCCCTAACTTGTCCAGCTCAAGAATCACGAGGCTGTAGAACCATAGTCTTACATTATTGTTGACTATTCTAGCTGGTCAAATAATATAACCTCTGAAGCTCTTCCTTTGCCTTTATTTCAATAAAACATTAGAAATTTATACATTTCAGACTTTCTACGCTATAATTTATGCCTTATATACTTCAAGTTTTATAATACTTAAGGCTTCTTTGAGTATTTCTTGAGAGATTCCAAAATGTTTTACTTTTAAAACCACTTAAAAGTATAAAACCTGCTAACAGAAGGTTCTTTTGTGGGCAATAAAGCCACACAATTGCCCTGCAGAAACAGGGAAATGAGAAGCTTTCTATCCATGTCTGACTCCTATGGCTATAAACAGCAGAAGAAAACACTATGGATATATTATTCCTATCTCTCAAGAGAAACTAAGCCGTCACCTACTATGCACTGTACACTTTAGACTGAAGATAAAAACTAGATAAATGCTGCTATAATTAATATGAAATTTCAGAACTTTTGAACATAAAAGTTCAAATTTTACATTAAGAGGCAGAAGCAATACAAGAAATTTTATTTATTAAAAATACAGAGCTATTAAGTTAATAAAACATGGGGAAAAAAGAGTTGCACCTGACAGCCATTAAATAGCTTCTAACAGAAATAAACTATTTGGAGTGAAAAATAAGTACTCTGATGATTATTATCCCCCTCACAGAAAGATGAGCAATGTCACTCATGCCATTGTATTTTTCCATTTTTTCTTATTTCTCTTTCTAGTTAAATATTTTATTGTGATACACTTACAACTGCCACCTTAGAAAGGAGATTTGCATATACCTCAGACATAAGTTTTCATTCAAATACATTTTAAATGTTTTGTTTGTTTTTTATATGAAGAATTGCAGCTACTGCCAAACTGGTACAATAGCAGCTACCACTTTGGGCACATTTCTATCATTTCTTGTGACTTCTGTGACAATAGGTTGCGATGCAGATAAAGGGAATCTAAACACTTCACATTCAACCATTACTGCTAATGTGGCTACCTGATTAGAAGAGATTTTCCTCAAACTTAAGATACCATGACTAAAGGAAAAGCTGAAACATTTTCAGATCACTGTATCCAAATTTCTAGTACAGACCACTCTCATTTACCAAAGTATGCCATAGGCAGTACCAAGAAAACTGCCTTTGAAATTTGAGGAAAATGGCAGAAGTCCTAAATACTTAGGTATAAGTAACTTCATATTTTTAGAGATGCAGTGCTTACCACTGTACATTAAGAAATGGTTACAATTAAAAAGCTTATTCTTTCTGAAAATCTTCACAGTAAATTCATCGTCAAATATGCTGAAGTTCAAACACGTACGTTACCTTTATTATACAGAAGATTTTGCACAATGTTGACGATGTTACTTACAAAAATGACAAGAAAAAATGGCACACACAGGTGTTTAATAATGAGTTATATTTGCAAAATGAATCCGTGACCAGACAGTACACAAATCAGAGTATTTTGGAGCTCACAGGACTGCAGAAATAGAACATGAATAAACAGCACAGAAACTCTGCTTCCCAGCCTGAGCTGGTAACAAGGAAAGTTGATTGCAGATCTGGTCTTTAAAAGATGCACAGTACTCACCTCTTCCTCTGAAATCAGAATTACTAAATGCCATAGAAAATCGCATAAGGCAATGCATTACTGTAGAAGAGTTACTAAACAAAAGTAGCTACCAGCCCTTCAAGGTTTGTGTCCATTTCCCCTACTTTAAACATGACACGGAGGTGTAGAAACTATTAGAGTATGCAACAGTCTGAAGTTCTCTTTAAGAAGACAGGAGACTGTCAGCAGACATAACTTTACACAGTATTATAATTCAAATGACAACTCCTAAGAAGCTCAGGTAGCGATGTGAACCACCAGTGTTTCTTTCAGATGTGAGTTTTAAATCAGACACCTCTAAAGTAAAGCACAATACACGCGCTACAGAAACAATGGCCTGGTTACTTGTCCAGCATCACACAAGAATAAAGGCAGAAAAAAACACATGACATCCACATAACACATAAGTCAGTTCTTAGGAATTCTCACTTGACATAACCATGAAGACATGGTTTTCTCTACTTGCAGCCATTTGCTCCATTGCCTAGAGAATTTTTTACTAATGCCTGCAGCATCTACAGCACCATCAGGCTTCTTGCTTGTGGCCCACAAGCACCCTCCCCAACCCAGCACCACAGGTTCACCCTATCAATAGATTAAACATTCTGTGTGATGTGTGATCACAAAGGTTGCTTCATAGTATACTGACACAAGGGGGCAAATGAAGATTGCAGAATCTTAAAGCAGGAGTTATCTAACTTCTTAATATTTCATTTTCTGATATTTTTGTTCTTTTTAGTTATTAGCTTGCGCTTTATTCCCCCCCCCCAAAAAAAAAACATTTCCTCCTTTGAATTCTAATTCCCCTTATTAGATGAAGCATTTTATTTACTTCCACAAAGACGATGAGAGAACTGAAGAATCTTTCACACGAAGAAAGCTGAGTGAGCTGAGACTCCAGCCTGGAGAAGAAAGGGCTTGTGTTTGTGTGATCTCAGCAATGTTTCTAAATGCCTGCTGGTGGGGGTACAGCAGAGTAAAAAAGACATAGCCAGGCTCTTCTCTGTCCAGAAATAGGACAAGAGGCCACAGGTATGAAATTAAGTGCATGAAATTCTAGCTGAATAGGACAGGTTGCAGAGTCTCCGTCCTTGAATGTATTCAAACTTGACTGGACATAGCCTTAAAAAAACTACCCTGTTTGAACTAGAGATCTCCCTTCCAACCTCAACTACTCTTACTTTGAGGTTTCTTTTCAGGACCAAAATCTGTGAAGTAGCTGAGGGTACTAATAGGTTTGCCCTCTTCTCTGTGGAATACAAGGAGGGGATGAAATTGACAGGGATTTCCCATATGACAGCAAAAGCTACTACTTAACAGTCTGTATTCCTTTCTGGATGTGAAGTGCAGAGCACTCCAGTGAATGTATGCAATCATCTGAGGAGTGCAAGCCTCTTTCCCTGACTTGTTCTCTTTGCCTCAAGCCAGATCCCCTCTGTCAGGCTGCTGCTTCTCCAATTTCAATAAACAAACCCAGCCCCAAATCTCTGCCCAACATATTTCAATCATTCTGATTTACCGGTTCATCAGATCTTCCCGTATCTGTTCTCAGCTCCAACCTTTTAACACCTGACTTTTAGACATGCTCCTAAAACTAGTTGTCTTCACTCATATACAGCTAATAGTCTCAGTTTATTTTCAGGCAGGCCTATCTTTTCTTGCCTTTTTATGTAAATTAAGCATCTTTTTCCCATACAGTTTCTAAGCCTAGCAGAAAATAAGCACTTGAACTGAAAACAGTGAACCTTCCTTTTTTACATCAGGCACAGTCCTTTGGACCCCAGAGCCGCAACATGAAGTGAGTTTGATCCAGCCACAGTCTCTGGCACCACCCATACAGGCAAGCCTCTGGAAAATCTAACTGCTAATATTAAGTCACCTGAGAACCATGTGAGAAATGTAACATCCTTTTCAAAGGTTTAGGAAGTGAATCGTTTGAGTAGGCCTTCATAAGCACTTGAAGTAGTTTTCTTATCCAGACAGGAACTTTGGCTCCTCAGTTGAACTCTGGTTCTGCAAATGCTCAAACTGTGTTTTCACCATGTCACTGAACTATTCTATGCTGCTAGGGCCACCGAACAAGGCACTCCAACCTTTGCCCTTCTGCTTCTTCCTGCTCCCTGCTATTTCCTGCCCTTGTGCCAGTGATAGGAGTTTGCATGGTGAACCAGAGGGAAGCACAGGCTGCTTCACTCTTCTCACAAAGGCCAACACGAGTACAATGAAGTAGTCAGGAACAAACAGTTTGGCCACTGGACTTTGACAAAGCCAGGCAAATAGACTTATTTGTTGTATGCTCTCAAGTCTTTGATCAGCTCTTTAGATTCATATCTACTCATGGAAGTCTCTGGGAAAAATCCTGGGTACATTAAAATACCAGATCTACAAGAGCAACTGGATGGATGGGCCTGCTGCAAGCACCAGTCTGCAGCATAATGAAAAAAAGCAGAGACCTTAAAGGTCTTTCCAAGCATTCTAAGTTCTCAAATGGCTGAAGTATATGTGCAGATCTTTAATATTTATCAGTTACATAGGTTGAAAGAAAGAAAAGAAACTCCCTAGAGAAACTTACCTAAATAAACTCAATGAGAAAGCTATCCAGCTTTGAGCCAGATAGGATATTTTTTCTAAGTAGTCAACTCCATTTTGGTCATGTGTCTTAAGAGAAATGTAGTAGGTAAATGTGCACACATATGTTCTTTATGAAAAGCTGTAGGCTATCTAATTCTGCATAGCTGTGCTATTGAGAACTGCTCAGGTCTGAACTAAATCAGAAATTTTAGCTATTAGTAATTTTGTCAGTTCTAATTCATAGCAGTAGTAGAAAATGAGAATGTGATTTTACCAGTCTGAAATTATGAAATATGGTCAAATAATGCAAACTAATGAATTATAACAACTTGGATTCATATTCATCTACATCATGTCCGTACCTGTGCAACTGCACCAGTAGCAGTTCTGTGAAGGCTAAAATCAAAACATCTCTTGAGTGCAGATAAGCCTTTTTTCCTCTTTTTAAAACATCTATATGATGTATTAACTTGACTCTGTGAAGACCTATTTGAATAAGGTATGTGTATTTTAAATGGTAAAATACAACAGGGCTAATAAAATTAGATTAGCAAGTGATACTGAGTCATGATAGTGAAGAAAATAAAATCTTAAAAGGAAACACACTTTCAGATCTGTATCTAAAATTAGTGACATTTACATAACCATTAGTCTACATTTGACTCACCACACAGTTCTTGCATGCAGCTTTTAAAAGGAAAGGAGCCCAAGTAATTTCCATTCTCACTGCAGCAATTTCAATCATTTCAATGAAAGATTCTCCTGCAAGAGAAAAGTCTTAGTGGAAGATGAGAAAAAAAATTAGTAAATTCACAGTCAGATACACAGTTTAAGCTTCTAACCATAAAACTGTTACCTGTCTATAGCCCAGTGGTTTAAGAAATGAAGTGGTTAATAAGTTTTGTTAAAAAAATTGGAAGACACTTTTTCTTTATGAGCTCTCTTTGTTAAAAGCATGACCAAATACTTCCCAGTTCCACTAATTTCAAAAAGATTGTAGAAATTAACGGTTTTACGAGTTTTAATAAAGAAATGCGTTGAGAATAAAGTAACCTAATTTTTATAGTTTTCAAATATATAAACAAACACACTTACCAAAGCATTGTTAGACACGTGTAGCTTGAGATGGCTCCTTAAAAAAGCTCAGTTTTCACACAAACCAAAACAAAATTATATATATGTCTATTTTATTTACCAACAGATACTATGAAGCTCTATAATAGTTTCTGAATAAATGAAAATACAAAAAAAGCTAAGAAAGTGTTCATATACAAACAATAGACAGATTTATAGCAACAAAAAGGCACAGGGAATACATGCAATGTCCTGTTCCACGACTCGCGTGCAGAAGTGGCTAGCCTTACTTCAGCAGCACAGTTAATACTGGAGATATTTACAGTCTTAACACCAATATTTACGTGCTGCTAAAGTATGACAGACATCAGCATCACAAGATTGACTAATTCATAAGTGGCATGTCTCTTCAGGGTGATGAAATCCTTGTATTTTTGAGGCAGCACAATATGGCCTGCACCTTTTCAAAACCCACAAACCATTATGTGCTGCTACGTTATGCCAAGGTGTCTACCATGCTTCAAGGAAACACAAACATACTCTGAGCTGAATGCAGAATTTTCTTAGTGAACTTTAGCTTTCATCTAGTAACATCAGTTGTGTTAATGAGCTACAAAATATTTAGAAAACATCTGTCCATTGCCAAGCTGACTATTTACAGTGAAGCTCTAGACTTTGTTGTCATGTGCACATAATACCTTAATGAGACATGAATCACAAACTGGACAACTGTGTTTCTAGTTAGAGGAACTAAAGATTATGCAGATGTTTAGTTCAAAAGAAAGCAAAAAACTCTGGGTTATTTTCTAATCTGACTTTTTGTCATCTGGAAAATTGGATGTGAAAAGAAAACCTAAAAACTTTCACATGAATGAGAAGAAGAGCTAATTTCAAAATAAGCTTTTGTGAAGTATTCTATCAGTCCTCAAGCCATCTGTTAGCTCTGCCGCTTACCCTTACTGCAACTTTTGGGCAGACAGATTCAAAAGAGCCTTAATTAACTTCAGAGGAGAAAAAAATTATAACCCAAAATAATTGTTAGCAAGAATAGTAACTTATTATGGGCAGGAGTTCATCTGCCCCCAGCCTAGAACAGACCATGCTACTTGATGTAGGCCAGAGATGTGGAGTTCATGGAACTGCTAGGTATCAAATTCTTAGATTAAAGAATGCCAGAGATTTAAGTCTGTGCAGTCTTTTTACTAGTTCCCTAGATAACATGAATTATGCTTTCTTTAATGTTTTTATACTAAACTGTTAAGACAAAAGCTGCTTACACAGCATGGACCCAAGCATACCCTCCATTGCAATAAGCCTTCTAGTCAGGTCATGACAGACAACTTCTGGAAATTAACAGGGCTATCTGGAAGCACAAAAAGAGATCTGGCAGGCCATGTGGGGGAAAGATCTGGGAATTTTCTCCCTTCCTATTTTTGTTCCTACAGTAATACAGCAGGGCAATATCTGCTAGAAAAGTCCTTTGCCACAAATGTGCCAATTAAAGTGAGATTGCCAGTGTAAATTTACAGGTAAGAGCAGCAACACTTTTTATATAGTTTATTCAGATAGGAATGCTAACTTTAGAAACTGCATCAAAGAGCCATTTCCAGTATATTTTATACATGCACAGCTCTATTTACACTTATCCCCACCCCACCTCTTACTACCTATGTTTATTTTTAAAATCAGACAGCAAAAATAGGCAAACTAAATTAAATAGGCACAACTTACCCAACTTACCATGGTGAATTAAAGCAGGAGTGCAAAATCAAAATAAACCTATACTGTAAACATATGCTCTGACAGTTGGTCTCCCCCCTGAAGAAACTGTGCTAGGCATAAACCAAGAGAAGAAAAAGTAAAGACAAAACCTCCATCATATATATGTGTAATGTGGAAGGCACAGATAAAGATAGATGTGAGCAAAAATGCTAGCCAAGAGTAAAAGGTTTACTTCAACATTTCTGGAAAAAGATTATGAAAAATATTCTCTAGCAAGAAAAAATATTGTTTTGTACTTACAGATTTACTTTAAAAGATTGAAAGAAAACTACTTAAATAAGACAGTTGCAACATTTAATACCTTTGAAAGTGCATTTCTCATTTTTAAATTCAGGCCAAATTCTTCATTTGAAACTCCATGTGTTTAACAGATACTATTCTTTCAATTGCCTGGTTGATTTCAGGTTCTAGCTTAAGTGTGGAAAGGTTTTATCCTGCTGCATAACTAAATCCCTTTAAAATTAAACTATACACACCATGAAATGAAGACTTGGCAGAACTATTATGCTATTTTCTACAGAAAGTATATTAGTAAGAAAACTTGCAGGTAATTCCACCCACCCATACAAAACATGAACACAAAACCTTGCATGAATTACAGGATTCCAGACTGTCTGAGTTTTCCTTTTTTTTTTTAAATGATTTTGGAAAGTGTTTTGTTGTTGGGGTTATTTTTTAGCTTTACTACAAAATGTCCCAAAAGAAACCAACCACCCCAAAATTCAACACAATGTGACTGTATATTTTCTACACTGCTGTTAAAATAGATCTAATCTGCAAGGAGAATAAGCAAATTATCACATAAAATTGAAGGCAGTCTATGTGAGAGAAGGGGTTGTGGAGCAGGAAAAGAATGAAAAGAGGAAGTCTAAGATAAGAAGTGTACTCATAGCTGAGCTAGGAATCTCCTGAAATCCAGGAATGTCTGCACAAAGCTGTGTACCATTATGCTTTGGTCATAAAGTCAATATAGCTGTTACCATGAATGCTTCTCCTACCTCCATCCTCATGTTTTAAGTCTGTGGATGAGAGACAGATTGACAAAGAAAACCTCAATAAAAGACTGGAATCATGTATGCAAGAAGCTCCATTACATTTCCCAAGTCCCTATAAGCAAGAGCTCTGCTGAGGAAGAAGGATCCTGAAGATGCAAAACTGAAATTCCTCAAAGCAGCTCACATACACAAGTCAGGAATGCTCTTTGAAAAAAATGTACTGGAACTGTTAAAAAATAAAAGGAAAAAAGAGAGAAGTGTATGTGTATATGTATTTGCCCTTGTTTTAGCAGTTAGAGTGTTCCCAAGCAATGAAGGAGCCTTTCCTTGATTTCAGTATTTTTTTAGTTGATTTATCAAAGACCAAGCCCAACATAAAATATAAATTTCGGTTTTTATTGTTTATAGTTCAGAGTTTATGACAACACCAAGCCAAACTCAATCTTTTCTGACCCTACGAAAACCAACTACAAGTGAATTCTGGCTACTATACACTCTAATAAGCTCCTTAAATGCTACTATAACTACTAATAAGCTCCTTAAACCTCTATGTAACATATTATATCCAGAAGGTACCACTAGGCCTGCAATCTGACTGACAGGCCAGTGACTTGGAGTAAGAGACACCAAAGACTTTGTATTAAACACTGTATGTTGTCTCTAATACCCAAGAACATGATATAAAATCAAACATTTGCCTTGTGCCTTTCGGTCACACAAAAAAGGCACTCCCTTGATACTTCTTGGCCAGAAGCTCTTCCTCATCAATAGTGTTATACACCATTGCTCACAACCATATTCCATTGCTTTGGTTCCTTACTCATTAATACAAAACACATCCTTACTCATTAATACAGAACAGATCCAATATGAAAGCAAGGCTATTGCATCACTGTTCATTGTGACCCTTTCCCAACCTTATTTCAGATTAAAATTAGGAAACTAAAGATGAACCTGAAAGACTGAAGTGTTCCACAGTGTAAAAGCATTACATTTGTCCACTAGTGCATCTTCTGTCCATCCTCTAGAGCCCTGACATCAGCAATTACAAGTGTTCTTATCTCAGTTCCCCCAGGTTAGCTTAGCTGAACCAGAAATGAGACAGGGTTTGCACTGAGCTGGCACAGCATGAAGTGGGGCATTTTTTACAAGTGTGTCCTGCTCTGTGCATTCCATTCATGGAGTAAGGTACTTCTATGTTAGACAGGACATTTTGCAGTGTAGCTTTTTGGACAACTGCTGGTAAATCTGCCAAGCTCTCTTCTAACAGTTCAGTGCCACCAACACACCACTAACTATGAGTACACACAATGGCAGCTCAACACTGGAAAATACTTTTAGGGTTTTATTGAATTAATCTGGGAAAAAGACAGAAAATTTCAGTGTTCACTACCAAGAAATCTGAACATTTCCATTCTCTAAGATTCTCAGATCTAAAAGTGTGTGTAGCTGCATCTTACTCATACACTGTTTACACCCCTCTCTCCAAGTTAAAACAATAGTTTCATTTTATTTTTGTCATATGCTTATTCAACACTGCAGTATTTACACTGCAAACATACTAGAATTTATTATTCTTGTTCCTTCTCAAATCTAAGATTTAGAAGTATATTATATTATTCCTGCATTCTTGCTTCTTTGTTAAGGAACTGTCTTTCCATCTAATTTGTGGTGTCAGCAGCCTTTAAAGTGATATGCATGTATTTTTAAAAAGAAGAAAAGATTCCACTGAAATATTTCCAAACATTACAGCTATTTGTGTACTTTTGGCTACTATTCCATTATTATTTGGTTCAGGCATAACCTGCAA